GATTGCGCATGGCACCTACGTATCACTGACTAGCTTCCACGAACCGATCTGGACACGATATGAAGCCTAAGCGCTAAGTTGTATCCGCTAAAAATTGCTCCATGATACAGTTGTGATAATATTGTGATACTAATTGTGATCAGTTTTGAAATTTTGATTAATTTGTATACATTAATAAAGAAAATAATGAAGTCGACCAGTGTATTGTGTATATTTATTTGTTCCGCAACAACTGCTACCTTTCACAACTCTTCAAATTATTTAATCATTAATTAAAAGTTACTATGATAATTTCTGTCAGTCATGGTGGTCACTTAGTTCTTTCAGCTATAAGCATCTGGCGGTAAAACCAGTGACGTTAGCGACAAAAACCTGCGGGGAACTCTGCAAAAAACGCATCTTCGCACAGGCAGCCCGTGCGTTGGCCATTTATTAACATTTAGATGATTTTCAACGCAGTTTGCTTCTGGCAGTTTTTGCAACTGTCATAGTAGCTCAAGAGCTGGAAACTGCGCAAACGAGATTAGCAGCATGCAAAGAGATAACTTTAATCCTGCTACCTCGTCACGAAAATAGCGTGCGGCATCTCCAATCATTATTAAATTATTCGCCAGACGCATACCTTCCACGCTTACTGATCCTTTGCCAGCTTACATAGCAAAATTGCTGTCTCCGGGACACTTAATCGAAATAATTCATTTTGTTCAAGTTCAGCCAAATTAATGAGACAGTATATTTTTCTGGGCTATTAAGCAAGATTTCAAGCAATGCTGTTAAAGTTGTCACTTTGGATTATCAAATCTTTGCTTTAATTAATTGTGTCTGCCCCCATTTTGAATCGAAGGGCCCGGCATAGCTGCACTTGGCACTGAAAAAATCCTAGTAACATCATTAACTGAAGATATCCACACAGGCAGCTCAAGCAGTCTTGGTATTCTGTCAATACACCTTTGCTGGGGTAAAAAGAAATTGTGTGGCTTGTGGACAAAATATATTTTATAAAAACCTGACAAAATCGGTGATTGGTTTTCTTTATGTTTCTTACTTTGGGTGGCCAACTACCAGGATTATATGCTGACGTCAGCTAGCAAATCTAAATGATGCTATCCCATTCTCTTTGCAATTAAAATCAAACTAGATCGACAGAATGGTCAACAGGCTGACCCACAAGGTGACGCAGCTCTGAACAAAACAGTTGTGGAAGTGGAAAGGTTGTTAACTTCTTAGATGGGGATCCATATTGTAAATTAGAATCTGCTTAATGTATTTCGGAGCAGCTCAGATCGCTAATCACAAAAAGTTCGAGCAGTGCGTGTCAATAAAAAAGAGCTTGCACTAAAGGTTGCAACCATAAATCTCAGGAAAAAGTGGGCAAAGGTTGCGTTTATCGTGGTAAACGACTCAGTTCGGGCAGAATGAACGGGAACAACGGCGCTACGCGTGCATTCGCTTCTACTTGACCTTCAAGCCTAAAGACTGTTAGTACATGAAAACTGGGACAACAAACAACACATCTCCACTAATGCTTAAAGACAGAAACGTCCACCATTTTATAGACCATTGTTTCAAATTCGAATAGATCTGAAAGAGACCGACCTGTCCGGAGCTTGCAAGCAGAAGAAATGAATGCACTTCACATGCTCACGATATATGTCAGTTCGTTAGAAAAAGACCGTAGTATAGCGCAAAATAAATCTGGAGATTTATTATGCGTTTTAGCTTATATGCAAATTGCAAAAACGCATATTGTGACGTGTGTGTGTGCGCGTGTCTGTCCGGGTATTTCAACTCGGCACTCAAGGAAGCTGCAGCGTCAAAACTTTGTCAGTGGGTTCTCCGACCACGTGCCACCCCAGGACCGTAGTAACGATTCTCACGCACGCCTAGGCCTCGCGTACGAACGCCCAAAGTTTTGGAAAGAGAATCGCTAACTCGGGAGCCAGAAAAGCTAAAGGGCTGAAACTTTGCTATTGTGTTTCCCGCCCAAATACAACGTAATGATTTCAAATTCAGCCGTCAGGCACGTGTGGTTCTCACGTACGGCCCAGTGAAAATTTTTGGCGGGAAAATTGCTAATTTGAGAACCAGGAAACTGGGAGGCTGAAATTTCCAGGGAATGTTCCCAGCACAATTACAACTTAAAGTTACTAAATTCAGCCCTCCTCTGTGCGTGGTTTTTACGTACGGCCTCGTGAAAATGTTTGGCGGGAGAATGGCTAACTCGGGAACTAGGAAAGCTGGAAAACTGAAATTTTGATGGAATGTTATCTGTCCGAGTACCGTGCAATAATTAATTTCCCTAGCCTCGAGCATCAGTATTTCACACATTGTAGCTAATGGGCTTCCGAGCGATCTCATTACAGCAAGAAATAATGCAAAAGCACATGATCGCACGGGCCCGCCCGGGGCGCGTCGCCAATTATTTTCATGCATATTGAAGCTGCTTTGGATACGGGCAAAACTGCTTGTTGCTAGTAACACTGTGTAACTTAGCATATCGTTTATTAATGCAAAGAAAATCTTTTCGGCTGCAATAAAAATACAGTATCGACGAACTGCTGTGCGACGGCGCTCAATCGCTTCACAAACGCATTTTCATGTTTTGAACCGAACGCGCCCCCTGAAATTCAACAAATAATTTTCGGTAGGTGAATTACCTGCAGTGCCGCTTTCATGCTTTAATTCCCTTACACAGACAAATTTCATTTTATTTATTTTTTTAACAGCGCCCC